GATGGCACCTAACAACAACAACAACAACAACAACACTCTAACCAAAATGTGAATCTATTGCTTCTCCACCTATCTTTTGTCTAGGTCTATAGACTTCTGAAGGCAATGTTTCCGTCACTCTTCCCCTTCCCCTAAAAAATTCTGCACGCTTCAATGGATACCATTGTCAAAATGGCACTTTGGGCATCCTTCATTTTCAATGTTCTTTGAGTGTAGTGAACACCAATGACTAGGACTGAAGGGTGGATGCAGTAAGGCTTCCCAGTGAGCTTCTCATAGGACAGCCCTTGCTACCCTTGAAGAATGAGCAGGTGCATGGTCATGATGGAAAATACTCTTCAAATGCAAAGTTCCTGGCCCTTTCCTCACAAATGCTGTTTCAAACTTTCTTAAAACTTCTTCCTCATACTTTGAGCCTCTCCTTAAATCTTACCTCAGTACAAGGATGGACTATTCTAATAATGTGGCATTGTGTTATACTCACCTTCCTGACACAATCACTGAAGACATAATAGGGGCATAAGTAAATGTGGTGAAGAAAGCTGATGGTGCCAGCTATTAAAAGATATAGAGCCTGGGTTCTTAAAGGCTTGCAGTTAAACAAACAGCCATCTAGCAGGGAAGCAACAAAGCCCACATGGAAGAAACACACCCGCCTGTGTAACCATGAAGTGTCGAAGGGAAGAGGTATCAGAAGTTCAACAACAAGCAACCAAATCGATACAAAGGGGCATGGATGTAGTGGAGACCCAAAAAACCCTGTAAGATAATTGGACAGCCCTTCTCAAAAGGGCCACACAGAAAGGATGATAAATCCAGCGTGTGGTATAGCACGATGAAACACATAACTATCCTCCAGCTCTTTAATATTTCCTCCCCTACTATTATGGTTTTTATTAATTTATCATTAATCATGTTAGACTTGCATATGTTCATTTGTATAATTAAGATCATTCAATACATGAAAGCCAAGATAGATAACTCTTCAGAAACAGTAATAGGAGTAATGGTTCCCTGAGGGTATGGGAAAAGGGTGGGGAGGGGGAAGGAGGACCTGAGAGCATTGATGGCTGTATAACCCCACTCAAGGGGAGCGACCAACAGAATTGTATGTGAATGGATATATTGGATGGTGTTAGAAAAGGCTAAATAAATAAAGGTTTCTGGGGGGTAGGGAGGGGAGGGTGGGGATAAAGGGGAGCTGATATCAAGGAGTTCAAGAAGAAAGAAAATGTTTTGAAACTTACTGTGGTAATGATTGTACAACACTGCTTCATGTGCTTAAACTATGGATTATTATGATATTTTTAAGAGCTCCCAATAAAATGATACAAAATAATAACAATAATAATAAATGCAATAAAGCCCTTTTTTCTCATGATCATCCCATGTCCTCAAGAAAGCCTATCAAGATTATGCTTGGGAATAACCCCCAAAACAATCCCTATAACCTTTTGATCTGACCTCTCTGCCTTGAATTTATGTCAGAGATCTTCCTTACTGCCTTTAAAAATGCTTGATCCATGTGAAAACTGTTGTTTCATATGGGGCAGCATTCCTGTAAACTTGTTGCCCACATCCAGTGATTTGGGAAGATGGCCACTTGAGTTTTGTTTTGAACTTGATATTAACCCTGGCCTCAAAATTGATTTTATCCATGGCACAAAAAGCATCCTTTTTTGAAGGTACCCCCAAGGAGCCTGAGATAAGTCTATAACTGAGAGAACTTTTCTGCAGCAATACTTTTTGACTTGCCTTCATATATGTGACACTAAATCACCATTTCAACAATTTCCACATGTACAATTCAGTGACATTAACTATCAAAACTCAAAAAAGCTCATGCCCTTGAGTCGGTACTGACTCATAGCTACCCTATAGGGCAGGGTAGAAGTGTCCCTGTGGGTTTCCGAGACATTAGCTATATGCAGTGAAAAAGAGGAAGACCATCCCGAAGATGGAGGGACACAGTGGGTCCAACCATGGGCTCCAACATAAAAACAATGGTGAGGATGGAGGGACCAGGCGGTGTTTCGTTCTGCTGTGCACCTAATGACAATGGCAAATCTCTTCTTCAAGGTGTTCAGTTACCAACTTGTAATCTCTTGTGATCTCCTCATCCCCTGCATTGGACTGACAACCCTTGGACTCCTAGGAATCCACTCCACCCTTCACCCCCAGGAAAAACAAACAAACAGACAAACAAACAAACCAACAGTCACCTGCTCCCACCACCCTTTTTCAAACGCATCCCTCTGGTGTGAAATTCACGACTTTAAAAATACCAATGGCTCAATGTATTCGTCTCTTGTTGGAGCCCTGGTGGTATAGTGGTTACCACTGCTAACCATAAGGTCAGCAGTTCCAGACCACCAGCTGCTCCTCAGGAGAAAGACGAGGCTTTCTATTCCCATAAAGAGTTCCAGACTCGGAAACTCACAGGGGCAGTTCTACCCGATAGAGCATCCACTCAGTGGCAGTGAGATTTGGTGTTTGGGTTGGTAGAGTCGCGATGAGTCAGAATTGACTCCAAGACAGTGGGTTTGGTGTGGAGATTTTGCAGGCTGCTAGTTAAACAAACAAATGGCTGGTTTGTTTGAATTTTAAGGAGAAGAAGAATCTGTGGCCTGCTATGCTCTTAGCTAAAAATGGTCTCCCTGAAAGCTCAAGAGAGCTGAAAGGAGAAGCCAGCCGTCCTCCCAGTCTCCCTGGGAGACCCGTTCTGGCAGCATCTACAGAGTGCTGTCTGCACCTGACCAGGAGTGAGAGGGTTGCTGGGAGGAGAAGAAGATGTTGTTTGACAAAGGACCGCTGACCTGTTTTTGAAAGTTTTTTAAATAGCCTTATATATATATAACTGCTTTTCCGCCTTTCCATTTAGGGGGAAAGATTTGCAAAGTTTTCCTTCTCGAATAGGTTTCCCCTTTACACCAAACCCCAAGCAAACTCACTGCCGTCAAGTCAACAGTGACTCATAGCGAGCGATCGGACAGAACAGAACTGTCCCCGTGAAGCTCTGAGACTGTTAACTTTCTTCAGGAGTTGAAAGCCTTATCCTTCTCCCTCAGAGAGACTGGTGGTGAGTGCACCATCTACCATGTGACCGGGTTTCCCTAGGTCCCCCAATTGATTTCATTTTTCCTCCTTCAGGAGCATGCATTGCATTGAGGTGAACCACCTGCTTATCCTTCTGTTGCTTATTATAGTGAAAATCTATCTAACAAAACTGTCGCCCATTCAAAGTAACAGAACTGTCGCCCATTCAAAGTTTTGATCTTAGGCCATTCAGTGACACTGATTAGTTCAACGACCATGAACAGAAACAACATGCTTCCTAAGTCATGATTCCTTGGGCTCTCTGCCTTTGCCTGTTTCATCTAAGTGGGATTGTGCATCACTGTCCTTCGGTCGTGACCTTATTTCACTCAGCATCTTTTTGGGGTTCATTCATGTCATAGCAGACCCCAGAACTCTATTGCCCTTTAAGCAATCCGGAGAAGGATGATTCCCTGTAGAAAGACATCTTGCTTACAGTAGAGGGACAGTGAAACAGAGATGGGTCTCCACGACATGGGTCGGCACGGTAGCTGCACAACAGCCACCAGCCCAGCAACCCCTGTGCGGATGGCTCAGGACCCGGTATTGTTTCATGCTGTGGGGCATAGGGACTGACAACTACAACATGCCATGATAGGTAGGGTCCCCATTTCGTTTATCCCTCTATCTCTTGGTGAACAATGAGGCTGTTTCCACTTGTTGGCTGTTGCGAACAGGTTTCTGTTTAAATGCCCATCTTTCACTGCTTCGGGGTCTACACCGAGGATGAGAATTTCTGGGTATTACTGTAGTTGTGCCTTGTCAATTTTAGTATAATAGCGACGCAGGTTCCTTATCGAGAAATTGGAAAATACAGAGACGCATGAAAGAGTAAATCCCACCATCCCGAGATAACCGTGGGAAAGAGTGAGGTGTGTCTCCTTCCAAGCTATTTCCAAGGCACAGCTATTCACACACACACACACACACACACACACACACACACACACACACATCCAGCACTGCCTGGGACACAGGTTTGTGCCAGAAGAAGCCAGCTCCTAGCACAATCACTACGGGTTTGGTAGGCGCAATTGTACAGCGATAATAAGTAAATATTATAGTAAAGTTATAGAGAGCATGAGAGATAAAAGAGATATATAGAAATAAATGGAGTCAGACACATATTATGGTAGCATGCTCACCTCAGCCCCGCTTGGTGGTCCACGTGGAGGGAGTGAGAGCGAACTTTAATGCTCCCCAAGCTTTTATACTCTCTCGGGACATTGGGGACGTGCAAGCCCCCACATTACAGGTGAAGACATACATCACAGGAAAGGGTTGTGCTACAGGTATTACAGTGATGGGAGGAGGTGATCTAGGGACATATGCACTACAGAAGGAGGAGGGATTGGGGGTGTACATGCAGCAAGATAGGCGGATCCTAGATTTCTGGTAACAGCTTAACTTGATTTTGGGTCTTCATAGGAACCATTATCAGATGGGTGCGAACTCCGCCCACAGGAATCAAACTAATGGCCTTTGGCTCCAGAGAGAGGTAGTCTATTGTCTCCGGCAGCAGGGAGCAGGCCCAGCCCTGCTGTGGGATGAGACAGCAGTCTGGCAGCAAGTGTCTGACTTCCCCCCACAGGTTTGGAGTTTGGGTCTTTGTTCTTTGACTCTTCGTGGCCTGCAGCCTCATGGTCAATATCTCAAAGGACACAAGAATAGGTGACAAACCCAATTTTACTGACCACGATTTTGATTGCGACAGCTAGCTCCCCTTCTGGAGACAAGCACCGTTGACCTGTTGTTACAGCCTTGTATTGATAGTTCTATGTACTCTTCATGTGGTGTTTGATCATATACATTTTCCCAGCAATCAATAAGCATGTGAACCACTCTTTGTAGTGGCCTGGGCATTACTGTGTGGAAGAACCGTCATTTACCCTTTTGCTTTTCAGGAGAGACGGGCTTGGGCAAGTCAACCCTGATGGACACCTTGTTCAACACCAAGTTTGAGGGGGAGCCAGCGACCCATACGCAACCGGGTGTCCAGCTGCGATCCAATACCTACGACCTCCAAGAGAGCAATGTGGGCCTGAAGCTCACAGTTGTCAGCACTGTGGGCTTTGGAGACCAGATCAACAAAGAAGACAGGTAAGGAAGGTGAGGGTGGGGGGAAGCTGGCAGGGGAGGTCACAGAAGGGAGCTCAGGGTGGGGTTGAGGAGGGACCACAGATGTTGGGGTCCTCCTGGAATGGTGTGGGCGGGCAGCAGATACCTCACAAGCACTGCCTCCTCCCTTGTCGACCACAACTGTGGCACTCCACACACTTGGCCAAAAGAAGGGTATCTTTCAAGTCTACATGGATGGGGTTTCCGTGCCATTCAGCAAGCAGCGATCACGCCTATCTTGTGGCAGGGACTGCTGTTCTCTGACAATCCAGAAATGAATGACTTAGCATGTCTGCCCTTGAGAAAGCACACACTCTCCATACAGGGTGAGAGGTTGCGTGAAGGCCCAAGAACAAAGAGGCGAAAGACAAGTTACCATGAGAACACAGAAGGAAAACAGTCCATTCTGGGCGGGAGGTTAGGGAAGCCTTCACAGAGGAGGCGACCCGGGCCGGGTTCTTGAAGGATGACCTAGTTTGCCAATGGGACAAAGGGAGGGAAAGAGGGCATGCTAGGCAGAGCTCACAGAGCAAAGTGGTGTGAACGATGCCGGCGTGCTTTCGGGAACAAGAAGCGGTGTGCTCTGTTGGGTTAGACCACTGTAGAGTCACAGTGAAGTATCTGAAGCTCCAACGTCAGGTTCCTTCCTCCCTTGTAAAGGCCCCTTCCGAGGCCCTGCAACTAAATTTTCGTCATCATGTTGGATAATTTTTCTTGGAAGATCCTTCAAATTGTATGAGCTTAAGAGCCCAGGTGGTAGAATGGTTATGCATTGGGCCGCTAACTACGAGGTCAGCAGTTGGAAACTACCAGCTGCTCCTCGGGAGAATGACGGAGCTTTCTACTTGCGTGAAGAGTTACGGTCTTGGAAACCCACAGGGGCAGTTCTACCCTGTCCTATAGGGTCACGATGGGTCTGCATCGACTCGATGGCAGTTGCTTGGAGGACAGCCTCACACAACCTGGATCAGTTTCTGGGCAAGGGCTTGGTAGGTAGGGTGGCCTGGAGACTAAAGACCTCCGCAGGAGCCAGATCAAAGAGGGATGTAGGTAATTTGCCAATTTGGAGAGGCTGAAAAGTCTTCAGAGGCATACTTATATGATCTGATTGGCCTTTGATAAAGGTGCTTTGCGCTAGGATGGAGCTTAGACTGGGAGAGCCGAGAGAACCGGTAGGAGACTCCTGGAGACCACGACGACAATGACATGGAGTTAAGTAGGCCAAAGAGGTGCTGAGATAGGGAAGAGAAGCCAGCTTTGAGGGGATGGAAGCACCAGGACTTGAGAGAGGCTTGGTGTGGGGCTGTGAGGGCGAAAGATGAATCTCGAATGAGGCTGAGATTGCTGGCTTAGGAGAGGAGACACAGTGATGGTGGTCAGTGAGAGAGGTGATCGGAAAGTAGGCTTTATCACTAGAGAAGGATGCCTGCATTCAGCATCATACCCCTTTAAAAAAATCCCCCGTATGTGATCAAATTGACAACAGCAACTCAAATGGATAGAGGAGAAAGAAGCTCGGGGCTGGGGAGAGCAGTGCGTTTGTTCACGGTGGTGAGACGGTTTGGAACGTGTTACTGAGAAAAGGTGGTTCAGCCTGGCGAATGTCACCGGCCTCACTGGATTGGACTTGCAGAACTTGTTATACGTTATGTTTTTTTACCAATCATTTTTTTAAAAATCGTTTTATTGGGGGCTCATACAACTCTTATCACAATCCATACACACTTCCATTGTGTCAAGCACATTTGTACATTTGTTGCCATCATTATTCTCAAAACATTTGCTTTCTACTTGAGCTCTTGGAATCAGC